GGGCAAAATCCTGTAATACGTGTTTTGTGGGTCCTTGACACCGAAAAATGGATGAGGGCAAAATGTCTATATATCCATCCATCCGTCCGTTTGTCCCTCCGCCTGAGCGTCCGTTTGTCTTTCCGTCCGTCCGTCTGTCTGTCCGACCGTCTGTCTGTCTGTCCATCCGTCCGTCCGTCTGTCTGTCTGTCTGTCTGTTTGTCTGTCTGTCTGTCCATCCGTCTGTCTGCCTGTCTGTCTGTCTGTCCGTCCGTCCGTCCGTCTGTCTGTCCATCCGTCTGTCTGCCTGTCTGTCTGTTCGTCTGTCTGTCCGTCCGTCCGTCTGTCTGTTTGTCTGTGTCTGTTCGTCTGTCTGTCCGTCCGTGTGTTTGTCTGTTCGTCTGTTGGTCTGTTGGTCTGTTGGTCTGTTCGTCTGTTCCTCTGTTCGTCTGTCCGTCTGTCCGTCTGTCCGTCTGTCCGTCTGTCCGTCTGTCCGTCTGTCCGTCTGTCCGTCTGTCCGTTTGTCCGTCTGTCCGTCTGTCCGTCTGTTCGTCTGTCCGTCTGTCCGCCTGTGACAACGCTAGCGGCTAAACCCTTCACCCGATTTTCTCCAAAATAGATATTCCTCAATTGATCTGGCTGATGTCACGGTCCCTTGAATTTCAAACCAATATTTTAATTTTGGGTAGTACTTTATTACATGAAGCCACTAAGATATTTTCAAAATTAAAAAAATGGCTTAATCGTTTTTTATTAAATTTTGTTTTTGGATAGTGTGAATGACGGTTAAGAGAATGGTTTAGGTTTCATTTTTGATAAAGACTCTAATTTTTCGAAAATTGCTAAAATTCAATTTTTTTGTCGTCTTCCTACAACTACAATTATGACGATAAATATTTTTCACTTAATGAAATCTGCCTCTAAAAAAATAAATTTTGAAATAACGTCATGTACAATTTTTCGAAAATTTGAGTACTTTTCGCGTAATTTTGCGTGAAAGTACGGGCTAGAAAGTACGTGCTATTATAGCTCTACTAGTTTCCATTAATTTCAATGTACTAGCCAGCTGTTAAGACCTTACAGCTTTTGTTTACATGTTGTTCGGAAATAACCCTCAGGCCGTTTTCCACATTGCACTAATGAGTATTTAGGTTTGCGATAAGTGCTTTCATTTATCGGTTAGAACTATTTTATTGCTGAATATCTGAGATTTTTTTAAAGGTGGCGTGTAAAGGGCGAGAAAGCAGTCATATGTGTGATGGAAGGTTTGGTTGAAAATTGTTGTCGAAGGGAAGAAATGAAAATAGAAAAAGAAATTTCGCGTTTGCTGAATTATATGTTTAGTTAAAGTATTTATATGCAAGTTTGTATGTAATTGGAAGTTGCAGATATATCATGGTGCACTTTCTGCCGTTCAAAGAAATTGCTTATGCAGAATTTGAAGTTTTGGTAATAATATTCCTGATGCTCCTCTCCAGACTGGTCAGACATGTGTGATAATAAGTCTAAAATGACTCTTTCATAAAAGTATTGAAGTTCAATTGAAAGGGAGTTAAAACAGGGAAGCGGTGCTGCGTGAATGATCGAAGAATGACAACTCGTTGTTTTGCTTCGTTAACTAAAGAAATTACGCGTGGGGCCATGGCAGTCTAGTAACCAGTTGAACTTCGAGGCACTTGGCTGTTTCTTTTGAGGAAACGTAAGGTCTCTCACGAGTTACTGGCGAGCTCTTGCGTTCGTAGATCGCGGTTACCTGACCATTGGGAACATCAGTAGCAGTACACAAACTATGAGCAGATACGAAAGCAAAGAGACGGTAGTAGGTTTTGGTGCCATACGAGTAGTGGATGAAAGTTAGTAGTTAAAATGTTGGTAGGAAAAATGCATTAAATGTCTTTGATTCTTGAATACTTCGTTGGTCCTCGTCAGGGAGTATGCCACAATACAAGCCCATTTAAGTTCACACAAGGTTATAGAAACGCAAGGTACTGCATTCATGTATTTTCCTAGAATGAATAGAGAGTATGATTACGCAACGCAGGAAATCTTGGATGGAAAACGGATGTAGAAGCACTAAACACGCAGTCATTGAGATTCTCGTGCATTGCATACATAATCAAATTCATTTCTTCACGGACGTGATGGAGATAATATGTTGTGACGTGCAAATATTACATCACTCATCAACGACGCGTAACATAAAAAGAACCAAATAAAGGTTATGTGTTTTGTAAAAGATAAAATGTGCATAATGTAATGAAGGGGAGCTACAATGTAATTTAGCATCTCTCACGGCCACATTCTGTTGTCGAGTGTGAACATCAAGACCTCAAAGACGCCGACATGGGGCACGTTCAGACATTCTTCCAAATAATCGTGTGGAGGAATGAAGGCAGAAAGAATGCAAACCATGTGTTTACAAAAAAATCGTATTTCAGTCATTTGAAGAGCAAAAGTCTTGTATATTCTACTTAAATTTAGTATAACAAATTGGAATTGAGGTAAAACATATTTTTCTAGTCCAAGCAAGTCATTGATTTATTTCTCGTAAGGAGTAGAGAAATATAAAATTATGTGATTTACTTTTATTTGTGGAAAACTATTCTAGAATTCAGTTTCGCTTATATTAGAAATGGAGAATTAATAAATACGTTGACTGAATTATAACATTCGTTTGACGTAGCCTCCACTACGCACAGCAATTACAAGGGTACGAATCCAAACACGAATATCTTTCATTTTATGCTTCAAACTAGTTTTAATGCAGTTAAATCGAGTATTATGTGCATTAAAAATTTTATGATCTGAATTACAAAGTTTCTTTATGATAAGAGGTTCAGAGTATATCGCCAAAATAATACAATTTGTCATGTACCACTTGGTGTCACCGAATCATCAACGCAGGCATTAATGTGTTTATAATTGTTTTTTTGCTTTACAAAAATAATAATGAATGAATTCACTGGCAAATTACCTTTTTATGTTTTATGTTTTAAAACGTCAATTAGCTTTAGATCCAATCTAATCGTTGAACGCATTCCATTTACTATTGAAATTAATGCCTTTTGCACATTTTCCATGAAAAGACATGAGAATACGAATAGTCATTACGACGCGTGCGCGCTCGCGTGTGTGTATGTGTGACGTGTGCTCACGTGCACACACACTCGTGAATCTTAATTGCTTTGATATATACAATTTTGAATGTTGTTTAAACAATAGGAAATTCCCATTATTTTCTTCTGGTTCATATACTTTATATATGTGGATAGAATACAGATAAACAATGAAATCAATTAAAATGAACTTTTGATTTCTCGGAACTGAACATTGTTGATAAGCTAGAAGGTGAGTATTGAAAGTCGTTGAAAGCGCGAATTCTGAAAGGCACAAAGCACTAATGTTACCTCTTGATTTTTATTGACAAAATATATTAGATTAACAATTTCCAAGGATTCTTGTACACGTAACAACGCCATTATCACACACGTAATGACTTGAAGAAAGTTGTTGAAAAAGGTTACAAGCAAAATTACAAGTCAAAATAGCAAAACAAAGATGATTCGAAAATGAATAACAAAGAAATTATTCTTAAGAGAAAGATCAACAGATTCATGGCAGCAAGAATAAATAAAATGCCAAACAATACATAAAAGCATAATAGACAATGACGATCAATATGATGCGACGGAAGCAATGAAAAGTTCAATAGAGAATGTAGGAGTATAAGAAAACGGCGAAAAAACCACGAAGCAAAGGGTACAATGACGAAGAAAAGTTTACGAAGAAGAGAGGAAATACGTTACACCTTCCGAAAAATGCAGTGTGGCCTTGTACTTGAAGCGGCATCGCACGTGTCCTCAATTGCTGTCGCTCCATGCACGCGTCAGCTCGCAGTAATGGGACTCTCTGTCACTAAGGTAACCAAATATCACAATAAAATGGCAATACACGACAAAAGATATAAGGAAATCAATAAAATTATTTAACTTAAATTGTCAGGAAAATTTCAAAGTGACTGATTGTTAAATTAAAAAGTTGAAAAATGTATGAACCGGAAATAATACATAATGGATTGTAACTTTTAGAAACATTTATGAACGAAAAACAGGAATACGCAATGAATGGGAAGATGCCATAGAGCAACTCGCGGAGAAAAGAAGACTATTAAAACAAGAGAGAAAGAATAAGGGAACTAAAAGTAAAAGGAGAAGTAACAATATTTGGAAGAGATCGTGAAAACGAAACGGAGAAGAAGTGAAGAACAAGAAGAAGAGATTTCTTTGCAGATGCAAAGAAACAATAATGTTGCACCAGAAATAACGAAACAACAATACGAAGCAAAATAGACGTAAAAAAAACAAGTAATGATGTAGGGAGAAATAGTAAGGAAGGGAGAAAGTGTGTGTTAGAGAGAGAGTGTGTTTGTGTTAGAGAGAGAGTGTTTGTGTTAGAGGGAGTGTGTTTGTGTTAGAGAGAGTGTGTTTGTGTTAGAGAGTGTTTGTGTTAGAGGGAGAGTGTTTGTGTTAGAGAGAGTGTGTTTGTGTTAGAGAGTGTTTGTGTTACAGAGAGTGTGTGTGTGTGTGTGTGTGTGTGTTAGAGAGAGGGTGTGTGTGTGTTAAAGAGAGAGAGTGTGTGTGTGTGTGTGTGTGTGTGTGTTAGAGTGAGAGAGTGTGTGTTAAAGAGAGAGAGAGAGAAAACAGGGCAAACATTCCAGAAGAATCAGACCACGATCCTGAGCAAAGCAAAGAGTGAACTGATCGCAACAGAAACTAAAGAAGTATATGAAACAAAATAAATTTGTAAAAAGAAAAGAAGAAGAAATAGGTAAACAGAAAACAAACATTAACAAATATGGATGAATTAAAACAAACAATCAGAGCACTCAAATCCAACCGCGACATGGCAGCAATCACCGTTAAATGACGCTTTGCACACAACGTGTGTGGTGACCAATGGCGCGCCACGGCGGCGGCGGTGGCGGCGGCGGTGACGGCGGCGGTGGGCGAACGGGCGCGGGGCGGAGGGGTCGGACAGTCGTTTCTGCGTAGCCGTCAGCGTCAGGTAGCTAGGCAAAGCCGCCAACATAATTGACGTCTGGGACTCGGACCCCATAGCTGTGCCCGGTGTCTCGTGGTTGGGCGGTGCGTCACTCGGATGGTGTATGTGAGTATACGCACGCGGACCGTGGGCCGCGTGGATGTTGTGGTGGTGGTGGTGACGCCTGATGGCGGATGTTGAAGAATATGTGTGTATGTGTGTGTGTGTGTGTGTGTGTGTGTGTGTGTGTGTGTGTGTAAGTCACAACGTGGGTGTGCTGTGAAGGGCTGCTTTTGAAACGTGGTGTAGTTGGTAGGTTGTTTGCGTGGTTCAATGCCTTATGTTTGATGTTTCGAAGTCGATTGTAACTATTATTAATTATTGCAGCTTCTGCTAGTTTTAATTATTGCTGTTTCAGCTAGTTTTCATTGTGCATCATTCGTGGATATAGTGTGTAATGGTTTCAATATTTCCGAATTTTCTGGGAGACATTACACATGCATTTCTGTTGCTTTGGAGTTCAATTTCATGTGAATATGTTTTAAAATTTGTGTTTCGCCATTACTTATTGATGTCTTGTGTTCATCATATTAATTGATGTATCCAAGATTTGAAAATGTTTAAATTTACATTGATGTCTTACCTACCAATATTTTATCAATTTCTTGACTTCCTTATTTTCTTTTCAGTAAACCGTAATAACTATTTCAAATAGGTACATGTACAACTGAATAGACATTAGTGCACATTAGTTGTGAACATATCGCTATAAGTCATGTATCAGTTTCATCTAAATGTACATTTTCAAAGCGATGTCTCGTTTCAACACCAAACTCTTCCTAGAAAAACGTGTACTTTCCTGAACGTTGTGTGTGAAAAGACGACGTATTCGTCCTCAGAGACTTCTTACATTAGGCACGAGTTTGTTTATTCCCCTTTACTCTGAATCACATGCGTTCTTATCTCGCGGCAACAGTCTGCGATTGCCATCTAGCCCGAAGGGCGAACAATATCCAACATGTTTCTGCGCGTACCTTGTCTCATGAGCTCACCGCTACGACGTGCCTTGGGGAAGATTCGCAAACAACGCGACTCTATTTTGTGGTGGGGATGGTTCTGTTCCATTAGTTGCATCATGCCTAAGGGTGCCTGGCTGTTCTGGGAACTGAGCTCGCACGACAACTGGCTTTGGGTGGATATAATATTGTGAAACGTACTACGCGTATATATACATTGGGATATACGTTACGGAAATAATGGTGGAGGTTATTTTTGCTATTCAAATGCTGTACTTAACATTATGTTATTAACACTATTTTTGCACTGTGGATAATTCAGAAATGACAATTCCAGTGTTTTAGTGTGTGTCCAATAAATAAGTATTTTAATGTATTAGCACGATTCGTAAGTTCGGTGTGATTTGCAGTCTGACATTCTTGCTCTAAATTTTCTGTAGTTTAATCCTAATGCGCAATATTGAGTCGGATATAATACCTGCATTTGTTCTTGTATGTTCCGTTTATAGATGTATTTAGAGTATTTTTTTCGAACTGTGTAAATTATTATATTTCGAATACATTCACTCACAGATACTCTTTATTCCGTGCACATCACATATGATTAATTACACAACTTTCAAACACCATGACACACAAATTGTTCAAAATCTCTTAATCTTGAATGTGCACTGACGCCCACGTTGGGTAGCCATTATGAAATGGAGCAATGTTGGAATAAAATCCAGTGATCAGTAGAAACGGGGAGAACCCCGGAAAAATACATGCCGCAATCCTGCTGTGTGCGCCACAAATTGCACGTGGATCGAACTAGAATTCAACGGCGGCCTTAGGTGGGGTAGGAAAACGTTGACCATCACGTCTAAGGCCGGCCTCACTCGTGGATGTGTTGAACGCGCTTTCTGTGTGCGACAGGGAGTGGCCTGGAATGTCTTAAGCTGCGAAAGTACGTTGGGCAGGTAGAAAAGGCCTGTGAGCCATCCCTTTCATATGGGCGTTCCCTTGTGTGAGATTTTCCAGGAAACGTAACGGGACAATCGGTCTTGCCGAAGGTTTCTGTGGTCGTTGCGATGTTTGTAACTGCTTTTGCATCTCGTCCGGTCTCGGCCCTATGCTTATATTTATAGGAATAGGGAATTGAAACTTACTACTTCAGAACTAGCACGTGACAGATATCACTACGTAGCCAGTTTGTTAAACTAGTTGTAAACAATAGGGGTTTTAAGAAACTCTGTAATATATGTAACATAATTTGAATAAAACACGAAGATTTGTAACATTCTTTTAGGTATTAATCTCGCCTCAATTCTTGTGTATTAATTGTCACAAAAAAATAACAGCCCAAATTATTAGTTTTAAACAGTTGCTCAGTCATTCAGAATTTATCGCTACAAAAGAGTTTTTGCTGCAGTTTTATGCATGTCGTTGAATTTTCCCAGTAGTTAGGCAGTGTTAAAGTATGTGTTGGTGGTTAAATGGTGACACTTTAAATGATTTGTCCTGGAAATCGAGAACACGGCAAATCTGGAAAGAAAGTTGCGTTAACATTTATTGGCAGTTTGGACGGAAAATATGATAATGTGCAGCATACCTATAAGAATCACAAAATTTAGCGTGCTATCAATTCTATTGAATTCGGTCTCTCTTCTCCCGATCTCCTTCCTTTCTCATGTTGATTCTTTCATTTCCACAGTTTTCAGCTTTAGACTCAAGTCTTTTCTTTTTCAACTATTTTCTGAGTGTTTAGCTTTCATTTGTCTCTGTTGTTTTATCTTATTTTTTCACATTTTCTTTTTCCCTTGCGATCGTTCAACTCTCTTCGTCCCTATTTTTCAGTCACATCTTCTCTCTCCCAGTGTCTTATATTTTTTCTCGGCTTTTTTCTCTCTTTCTCTCCCTTTCCGTTTGTTCTTCTCTCATGTCCCTTTCTGGTCTTTTATTCTCTCTCTTTCTCTTTCTTCTCTTTACTCTTTCCCCCTTCTACCTGTCTGTTTCCACTTGTCTCTGCATAGCTCTGTTCTCTCTCTCTCTCTCTCTCTCTCTATATATATATATATATATATATATATATATATATATATATATATAATTTCTCTCTGCAATTATATTTCAAAATACAGTTCACGAGATTCAGCTGTGTGTGTGCGTGCAAGTGTGTTCTTGTGTGCGTGCGTGTGTGCGCGCGTTTTTCTCTCTGCTTTTGCCTCGCCCTTTCGTCTTCCTTGCATATCTCCTTCTAGTCATTCGCAGTTCTTTTTAACATTCCCATCTTCCTCTTCCTTCACCCCCTCCCCGCCACGAAATCCGGCACTGCACCATTGGCAGCCGCAACCGCACTCGACGGACCGTGACATCGCCCGCCGGCCGCCACTGCACCTCGAGCCGCGCTGCAGTCGAGGCGGCGGTGGCGCGGCGCCTGCGTGCCAAGTGCGTGCGAAAGACGCGCGTGAGATGCGTCGCGACGAGGCGCTGGCAGGCCTTGGCGCGCTGGGGCGTTCGCTGCGCGCACGCGCACGTGTGTGCGTGTGTGTGTGTGTGTGTTGGTGGGGGGGAGGGAAGGGGAGCACGCGACCTTGGGCAAGGACTTCCGCGTTGAAGCCGCCGCCGCCGCCACCGCTGCCGTCGGCGTGGTCAGTCCGTCCGGTCGGCCACCTCGAGGCGGGGTGCTGGATCTAGCGAGTAGGTGCGACGCTGCCAATAATTAATTATCTGGCCTGCCTTCAACTTGGGCTGTCATGTACGTTCCATTTGCCTACAGCGCACCGAAAAAAAGAACCGTTGGAGTATAAACAGGAACATTGTTACAGTATCATGGATCTGGAATACGCCAACGGTTCTTTTTTTTTCGTGTGGAGGCGGACCCAGATACCATTATTGGGAAGGGAAATTAAAACTCTTTTGGTCGAAAGTGCCATTACGATTTTGTAAATTGTCGCAAGCTACACTCAGCTTATGCTACGATACAATGTTATTAGTCTTAATGATTATCCGAAAATATGTTTGCTTGAAAGTTTCGTGACAAGTTAAAATTAATAGTTACAGAATCAATTGGGGGGGGGGGGTTCCCCTCATTTTTCTCCCCATAGATCTGCGTCTGTGTATAGGGCTATGCTAGTGTATAGGATAAATGTGGGGGATTTAGTCTTGATCAGGAAAACGATGTGTAATTCGCGAATATAAAAAATCTTGTCATGTGGAATGGCTTGACAGCCCGCTACGGGCCTTGGCCGACAGCGGTGACCCACCCTCTCGAGCATGGGAAAAGCTGTTCGTGTGAATGCATCCCTTCACGGTCTATTCTGGTCTTCATACCCTTAGGGTGGGCTTTTTCATCATCACACAGCAATAGGTACTGGGACATTTGTAAGGAAAGCGCACAGTTATTGTTTTGTCCCGGCCGGGAATAGAACCCGAGGTTGCACCGTAAAAAGCGACCACGTTAACTAACGATCCACTCAGGGCTTGAATATAAAAAGTAGTAGTAATAATAATGATAATAACGATAATGATAATGCTAATGATGATGATAATAATAATAATAATAATAATAATAATAATAATAATAATAATAATAATAATAAAAATTTGATTTATATTCTTTTTTACCTCTAGGATGACTCATAGGCAGCGTACCAGCTTCCCGTGGTGTGATCCCGGGTTCGATTCCCGGTTAGGGCCAAAATAGCTTTCTTTTACAAAAGCTCAGACAGGCGGAGTTTGCTAGTTACGGTGAAGGAAATGTGTAATGTTGGCCACATGTTTCTCTTACTCCCAAGCATGGGAATTGAAAAGCGATACCGTTCGCTTACCAGAAAAGTCCAAAATGCCAAATGCAGACACATATTTTCTTCATTTCGCTTTAAATTTCGAACAAGTGGGCACTACCTCACCAATAACATTGATACGCATTGGTATGGGTGACTCAGAGAAACCACAAGACTGAAAATTAATTTAAATCATCTCCGTATTTATCTATTAGACAGCGAAGAAACAAGAGTACAGCGATATAAACCGATGGATATAACGTACTCATTTGTGTAAAATTAATAGGAAATGCTACTGTTCAACATTTTCACTCTTGCAAATTTTCTTAAAAAATGTATAATATTT